ATGTTTCCTTGATGATAATTTGTTAAAAAGTGACGCGATAAGCTCTTTGTTACGACGTGAGCTTTACCCACTCTGTCACAGATTCGGCCGCACTCTCGGCGAACATTCTAACGCAGCACTACACCTTAAATGCATTTCTAAAATTTTAAACACAAAAATATGACTATTATTTAAGTAATCATTCTGTTTTCATATAATTTTCATATAATTACTCATTATTTTTATCTTAACATAGATTGTTTATTTTTTTTTAATTTTATATGGGTGCGGCAGAGGAATAGGATGTTTTTGAAATAATCATAAAATCATTAGTTTTTGCTTTAGGGAAAATTTATTGGTAGACCAACATACACAAAGACATAACATTTGATAATACTCGGATGGATTTCCAGTTGTGGAAAACAATATCGGGTATATGGTGACCGTTTCCATCGACGCATTTTAGAAGGCGTTCGCGGAAACTAGTCTCGACTTTTCCAACAAATCCTTATTGATTTCACTAATTTCCTGGCCAACTGCATCTTTCAATTCTTTTAATGTACGAGGATTATTTCCATAGACGCGGGACTTGAGGTACCTCATAAAAAGAAATAATACATGGACATGTTCGGGGACCGAGGAAGCCATAATACGTCCCCGAAACTTGAAATTGAAAGGTTGGCAAACAAGGGACGAGAACAGGGCATGGATGCCCTGGCGGTGTGTGCCGTGGCTCCATCTAGCTGAAACCACAAACGGTCACGGTCAATACGTCTTCTTTCTAACTCGTTGATAAAGAAGGCGTTTACCATATTAACGTAACGTTACTGTAACAGTAACCGCATTTTCCTCAAACAAATAGGGACCTATCAATCCGAAGGATGTTCACCCATCGTAAAGCAATCGTACGCGAAAACGCGTTGGTCTAACGTCAACCGCTCCATAGTAGCAATTGAAATTGAAATGCTTTGAGTCAAGGCACTGAATGTAGTCTGACGCACACCCTTCCCTTCTCTAATGGCCGAGTACTACCTGTCCTAAAAACGTTCGCTCTTTGTGCCGCACGCTGTACTTTTTATACTATATTATGATATGCAGACATTTCAATTAAACAAGGTAAATATTTAAATAAATACAGACAACATTTTGTTGGAGATTTGGTAAAATATAATACTGAATTAAATTCAAATTTATTTTTTATTATTCAAGTATACATAGGTAAATAAGCTGTAATTATTATTATTTGTAATTATCTATAATTACTATTGCAAGCATTTTCATTTACAATAAAACATTTTTATTAAGCAACATCTTCTACAGCATAATAATGAAATCCTTCATATGGTTCAACAATATACAAACACTTTTCATTATTCATATCAAGATTTTCAAGATTAGGCCAATTTTTATGATATAATATCCATTTATTCAATGGTCCTTCTCTATAGACATAAATGCAAACATCTAAAGCGTACGCTGCGACAAACAGTTCTACATTTGATCCTATACTATCTAAAAAANTAAACAGTTCTACATCTGTACCTATTATATCTAAAAAATACAAATTTAAACTTATGTCAAATATAGTTTTTTGGAAAACTAATATTATGGACAGAGGAAACCATTATTTTGAACATGAAATGTTACGAGAGTAAATATCAATTTTTATGTAAAAAGCTTTAGTTTATGCAATAAACTAAAATATGATTTTCTTGTAATTTTTAGGGAAATTAATATTATTTTATCCTTGAGTAACAACATTTAAAAAACTGTTTAAATTTTTACCTTTCTCATGGCCCGATTGCGCCCACAGTAATAATTGATAGATAAATATGATGCAAATCAACAAATGCCATAACAAAATTAATAAGTGATAAAATATAACAATTAATAATCAATTGATATTTTGAATACTGTGAATAATGTGAGTAAAAACAAAATTTAAAAAATGTCTAATAAAATTATATGAAAAAATCACAATGAAATCTTGGGACGCACTCATATAATACCTTATTGCGAATGCATTTGAGACATCTGAAAAACGTAATTTTACACGTAATCAAGATATCCCCTTTAAATATAGTTTTGATGATGTTTTAATGCCATTATCAATTTAAAATAGTTTAAGATGAGCACTAATCTCTCTAAACAATAATTAAATTGATAATAAAATATTTGTTACACGATTTGAATATATTTTACATACTATTTTTATTTATACGTCTAGTTTCTAGGTACTTATTTAATTTATCTTGATCTCCATCAAAAAGATTCCTCAACGATTTATTGTTTAAGGAATTCTAAAAAAATATTTACGTAACCATAAATTATTGCTTGAAAAATAATACATGAATATCGTTAGCTTAGTGACAAAACTTCGAAACTACATTTTCTGTGACATTGACTTTTTGATATTAAAATGCAATTTATTTATTATAATTATTTTATGATATAGCGTGATCATTATAAGCAATTTTTTTTTTAATTTCATTCTGTATTTTATGATTTTGTGTACTTCAAATAATATTTTAATGGTAATAAAAAAATGTATTATGAATAAAAACCGCTATAAATAAATAAATTGTGTATACACTTATTATCAGATTTGTGCCCCTCCCTAAAAATTACAAATTTGTAGATACGAGTTATTGCTTCTAAGGTACTGATATCATAGATTTTTATAGCTACTTATATATTATAGTACCTCATGTATCACATTTCTTATAGTTTCATGGTACTGATCTGTATTACAAAGTAACTGAGATAGAAGTTTGTAAATAGCATTTCCAACGTTATTTAGATTTACAGTTGTATTTAAAATTNGTAACTGAGATAGAAGTTTGTAAATAGCATTTCCAACGTTATTTAGATTTACAGTTGTATTTAAAATTTCATTGGGTTTAGTTAATATTTTGTGAATATTTTTCGGATATTCTTTAGTTGATTGTTTAAATTCTAAACCTAATTTCTCGCATTTTTTCTTACGCAACGCTGTGTCCATTGGATTATAAAAGTTATGATTTGTTAGTGTTTTTTGTTCAAAATGAGATGCGTGATCTATGTTAGATTCAAATTTCGTATGGAATATCACTTTTTTAGGAAGTTCATCGCCGATTACCTAAATATAATCAAATTGTTTGTTTATTGTGATACAATTTATTTTATAATTAATGATTTTTAATACGAAATTGACAGTTAATTTAATCTCAAAGTTTATATTTATAGAGTCTCCAAAAAAATTTAATTTAAATATATGAACACTATTTTCTCAAAAATGATAAATGAGCAAACTATTAATTTTTTAAAATAATGGTTGAATACAAATTTAATCATAATATAAAAAAACCCATCACAGGGGGGTCGCAGCACAGTAGTGACGTGGTATAGATGAATCAAGTAAAATGATATCTGACAGTGATTAAAATCACTATAAAAAAAAAACGCTTCAATGCAAGTCTTTAGATAGTGTTTAATTTTAAAAAATTGGTGGATTATTCCAAAAGCTACATGATCTGCTAGTTCATTATTAATATCCTAATTAAGATAAAGTATGTCGAATGAAAAAGGGATTATTAAAAAATATTATTTCTCATAAAAAAATAATGTTGATCCATACACTTTTCAATATGTCATAGCATTATAAAGTTAAAAATGTAAAAAATAAAATCAAGAATTTTCATACAATAATATTATTTGGTAGCCATTTTCACCGTGAAGACAAAATAAAGTCCGAAATTTTTTTTCGCATAATAAAATAAATTACATTAGCTTTAATTTAATATATATATAAAAGAGTCGGACTTTCTGGAACACTTTGAAAAGTTAATTTTTTATGAAGAAGTTGTCATTTTAAATCCCCTCTTGTGGGCAGGTTAAGGGTTAAATTTACGAAAAAAATATACCAAATTAAATTTAATAATATTATGCATCTATATAAAAAAGAATTACATTGATATGTTTATTTTTTAAAAGTTATGGCACTTTTAAGTAAAAAAAATTGAAAAAATTTAGAAAATTAGCGATTTTTAAATTCGTAATTTTTTTGGAGGTTTCCCCCATTTTTGGGGAACGAGGGAATTTTTTTCAATTTTTGAGGGTAATGTCTTCGACTAGATACAATTTGTGATCTTTTGACGTATCGTTGAAAGAAATCGGTTTGGCAAGAGCTGAGAAAAAGTGGTAACAGGCACAAAACAAAAAAAAACAGATAGTAAAACTAAGATCGAAGCTAAAATAAGAATGTTTCAATGTGTATTGTTAAAAACTATTATTATCCTAATATAATTAAGCAAAAACTCATTCAATTTTCAGAAAAATTACTGATTTTATATTTTGTACAGTAAAGAAATACTTTAGTCATTCTAATATTTTTCAAATTAAAGCTTGTAACAGACAAAAAAAAAAAAATTAAAAAAAAAAAANATTTTTCAAATTAAAGCTTGTAACAGACAAAAAAAAAAAAATTAAAAAAAAAAAAACACATCTTAGTATAATCAATACCTTCTCAGCTTCGCATCGAAACTAAAAACTTACCACTGATTTAATGGCTTTAAACATACCTAAACCCTTTAATCATGTTACAAACATTAATTTAATAAGAAAATAATAAAACTTAAATGGATGCATAATCGTAATTATTATATATGTAATTTATAATTATTGACAGTCTCAATATGTTTCAAAGATTATTTGCAAAACATAAAAGAAACTTAAAATACTAGAAAATTATATGCATTGTAACACATGTCTGAATTTTAATAAAAAAAAAATTAAATTGAACTGATAAACCTTAAAAAATATCAAAGTGTGAAGTTTCTATATTACATCACTTACTTGGATACAAGCTAAAAAATGTAAAACCGAACAAACAGGTTTGGACACAATTTGGCCATCATCTTTTTTTTAATAATTTTTTATCAATATAAAAATCAATTTTTATTAAGTTTAAAATCACTTTAATAATGTATAAGAAATATTTATTAGTCAGGTCAAATTAAAATACATGCGTCATTTCTACTTACTTTTGAGTTTTCTGCTTTTAGTAGAATGATGAACATAAGTACAGAAAAAAAATTGAAAATCTTAATCTCCATTGTAATAGTCAATTTAGTAAATTTTTTTATATTTTTCTTTAAAATATTTTATCAAATACTAAGTGTAATGATTTTTGTACCAAGTGTTTTATATAGTAAAAATAATTTTATTTTCTGATATTAAACAAATAAAGTGTTTTAATAAAGTAATAATCATTATTTGAATTACAAAGATCTAATTATAAATTGAACAATAGGCATTCCTTTAAAAAAAAAAAACCAGTACATGGGGTCGCGGCACAGTAGTGACGTGGCATAGTTGGATCAAGTATAATGATATCTGACAGTTATTAAAATCACTATCATAAAAAAAGCTCGATGCAAATCTTTAGGTAGTGTTTAATTTTAAAAAATTGGTGGATTATTCCAAAAGTTACATGATTTGCTATTTCCTTATTTATATCCTAATTAATATAAAGTATGTCGGATGAAAAAGGGATATAAATATTATTTCTCATAAAAAAATTATGTTGATCCATACATTTTTCATAAAGTTATAGCATTATATAGATAAAAATATAAAAAAAAACCCAGCACAGGGGGGTCGCGGCACAGTGGTGACGTGGCATAGTTGATTCAAGTATAATGATATCTGACAGTGATTAAAATCACTATCAAAAATAAACGCTTCGATGCATATCTTTAGATAGTGTTTAATTTTAAAAAAATTGGTGTTTAATTCCAAAAGCTCCTTGATCTGCTGGTTCCTTCATATCTCGATTAAGAGAAAGTATGTCGAATGAAAAAGAGTTTATTAAAAAATATTATTTCTCATAAAAAATTTGTGTGGATCCATAAACTTTTTAATAAGTTATAGCATTATAAAGTTAAATATAATATGAATAATAAAATCAAGAATTTTCACACGAAAATAGCATCTGGTAGCCATTTTCGCCGTGAAGAAAAGTCCAGAGGTCAAATTTTTTTTTTTCAAATTAAAGTATATTACATTAGCTTTAATTTAAGATATATATAAAAGTGTCAGTCCTTCCGGAACATTTTCAAAAGTTATGTTGAAAAAGTAAATTTTTTGTGAAAAAGTTGTCATTTTAAATCCACCCCTGTGGGCAGAAAAAAGGTCAAATTTACAAAAATTATATACCAAATAATAGGTAAAGACATCAAGCATCTATATAAAAAATAATTATATTGATATGTTTATTTTTGAAAAAGTTACAGCTGTTTTTAGTAAAAAAAATTGAAAAAATTTCGAAAATTAGGGATTTTTGAATTTGTAATTTTTTTGGAGGTTTCCCCTAATTACGGGGAACGGGGGAATTTTTTTCAATTTTTGAAGGTAAT